GCATTACTTATTGTATTACTTTGCTATTATTATTAATATAGATATTTTACTGTATGTTGAAATGAACGAAACAAGAAAAATTTATTACATTTATAGATTCGTACATTTGCATTATTACATAGGCATCATAGGATAATATAAGTTTATGATTGTTGTTAAATAAACTTTTGCTAGAAACCTATTTATTTTATAGCTTTTAATTTTAAACTCAGAAAATATGCAAGGCTTATGACATCACTATTAACATGTCAGTTTTGTGAAATTTACTGAATATTTGAAAATAATAACTTTTTACTTTTAATGTATTTTAATATCAAGAAGAACTGTGGCTGAATTAACTAAGAATTATTTTTAAGAAGCGTCATTTGCATTATTACTTAAGAGTCTCGGCAAATGACCGCGTTGTCCTCTCACAATTCGCTCCCTTTCGACCGTCTGAAGGATACCGACAATTATTCCTCGACCCTACCATTTCCGCAGAATTACTACCTCGCAGTCTAGTACTCCGCTTTGTTTAAGGTTTCATTTAACCCACGCAACTTCCCTTCTGTCTTTCTATCCATTAAAAAGATCATTTTTGCTCTGTAATTAAATTTATAGTTACCGATTTATTAATTGTATAATCAGTTAGGATTTTAGAGGAATTTGTTCACTTTAGATGAAAAATGTTACATATTTTTATATTATCTTATCGATTATTCAATGTTTCGCATAAAAGAAATTTTTTTATTATCGTATGCCTAACAAATAAAAAAAGAGTTCTACTGGATGCATTATTGGTGCATTAGAGATAATAATGCAGAGATAATAATGCATGATAATCGAGTTGTATGTCTCAATTACAGCCGAAATTATGTGTCATCATTATTTACTTCGAAAGAAAAAATGAATAAGCGTTGTACATAGGTGAATTTGCTGGTATTTTAATCGGTCGGTACGCGCTTCCTGTCTCTACTTCTTTCAACTTTAAACAATACCGAGGATGGAATTGTAGGGCGATCTGTTTCTTCCCTCCCCCATATGTACGCTTTACGTCCTCTTTTATAGAATTCTTTGTTACGGTGCAGCGCACACTTCGCGCAAGGAAGCACATTGATCGTGAAAGATGAGACCCGAAATCACCGGTCTGTACCTGGTCGTACGCCGGTTTTTCAAAAGCGAGAAAAGAGAAAGTGGGCGGATGCATCGAGCGTAAGAAAATTTACGACGAATTGTTGTAACACGCATAACATTCGGATGAACTATTGCTTGGTTAATAACACACAGACAGAATTACAACTTTGCCGAGTAATAATTTCATCTTTTTGACATTTTTACGCATTCGTCCCACGCTGTTCTTAAGTTATTCGATGCGGGTCCGATTGAGATTATATCGTATATATTTCGTACATTTTTCTCATCTTTTCATAAAATTTAGAATAAAAATATATTAATAATCATATGGGAAGTTTTTTCTAACATTTCTCTGATATTTTTATATATTTTTATATTTTGATTTAGAAACACGAATTTATTACAAAGTATAGTATTTTAAAATATCTTTGTACTATATTTAACTTTTTTAATCAAATGCTATTCAAATGCTATTCAAATGCTATTTATGCTATTCTTCTCTTTTAAATACATTTGAATACTTATATAAGATCAATATACACCTTTCCTATTTTGTAGCGAAACGAAATATATCGTTGTCCCTTTTTCGTCATCTCCCCCACAACGACTTTACGGTTCATGCTACGTCCTAATTTCATGGTCTGACCATGCCAACCTCAGCATCTGAACTTTCCCATAGCCAAGACTTTATAATGGTATCGGAGTGAACGCATCATCTCCGGGCCCTTTGAGCTTTCGTCGTTTATCGCGCTCGTCACATGTGTGATATTCCTTGTACGGGGGGATTCTGGAGCAGTTTGGAGTATCCAGAACTTGGTTAGGAGAGGGCGGACTAGGACAGAGGGGGTTGATCGTGTCTCGACGAGCCTCGAGAAGGGGATCTGTGGTCCAGTACGTGAAAGGGGGTATCAATAGCTCGTTAATCGCAACGAAGGGTGGGATTCGGGGCGATACATATCCCGCATCCCCGTTTCCTCGCATCCCCTTGAATTAAATTTATTTAAAACGGCGCACCGACGTATCTACCCTAGGGATTTATGCTGGGACGTCTCTCGTCCCTTCGTGTGAATTGCGAAAACGGGGCACAGGTTGCACCAAGCACTGGCTGCGGCTCTCGAGTCAAGTGTACGCAAGATTAAACCTACCTCCATCGTGTCTCGCCTCGATGACCACGCGCTTTTCATCGCGTACGACGAGTCCTGAGAACGCGCCCGCCTCCGGGTCAAAATCTCATCGAATTTCTCCCACGAAGCTACTGCTCGCACGCATTCGACTTGCCTTTCATCCAATCACTATTTTTACGGAAACCTGCAACAATAGTCATATGTGGAATAACTCATGAGAAATGAAACACCTAAATATACGAGAAAATAGCATTGAAAACTTTGTTTTTAAAATGAAAAGATTCATTTTATAAGGTAATTTTACATACAAATATAATACTTCACAATCTATCAGTTTTTTTACTGCCAGCTATATAAGTTAACTTTTTCAACAGTTACAAGATGACGTTTGGTAGAATCGAAAGTGGAGCCATTAATCTTTGTTACTTAGGAAGATTTAACTGCATTCCATTGTTTACTTTTAAAAGTTATTTTTGTCATGGCTGAAAAGATTTTTCCCATTTAAAATTTCCGTTAAAATAATTTTATTTTTTATTTGAAAAATACATTTCAAAATATTTTTTCTTTATGTAAAAATATTCACAATTGTATCTATGATTTATGGCATAAAATATCTATGGATAGAAAAGAATAGGGATGGAAAATATCTATGGATAGAAAAGAATAGGGATTATTCGTAAGAATAGATGGGAAAAATCTTTTCAGCCATGATAAAAATAACTTTTAAAAGAAAAAATGGAATGCAGTGAAACCTTTCTAAGTGACAAAGATTAATGGATCCACTTTCGATTCTACCGAAGGTCATCCGGTAATTGTTGAAAAAGTTAACTTATATAGTTGGCAGTAAAAAAAACAAATAAATTGTGAAGTATTATAGTATTGTATTACGCGTATTCAAGAGAATCATGGAGTTTTCCAGAAGAATCATTTAGAAAAATCATACAAAGAAGAAAATACATCGTTATCATTCTCATGCACTCGCACGTCAATCGCAGCATAATATATTCACGTGGGAAATGTACACTGCCAAGCGATTTTTCTGCTAAAGAAGTAAAAATCCGCTTATCACGCAAAGACACGCATGTAAATATAAAAATGCTACTGTTTCTTTTTCCCTTATTCGACCGGGGATTCTCGTCTGTTGCCGCAGTTGATCCCAATTGTGTGGTCATGATCTGCATTTCTGATTTCATCAATTCGCTCTCTTGACATACTTGCTCTCGATGAAAAGAGGGAAAGAAAAGAGACAGGGAGGGGGGTGGTGAATACTGTCATTTGCATTGCGACTGCGATGGTTGAGATAGGGGAGTGTTTCGTGTCTGATGATGAAGAAGAATATGAGGGACGGCGAATCGCAATTCGAATGTAGTATTTAGTAAGATTAATCACGATCGAGTAACTCGTGGAACGAAATTGTGAAGAGTGTCAATCATACAGGTGTATTCCTATACCTTTGTGTAAAGATTCTGAATAAAAATATTATTCATTAAGATTATCAATTCAATATAACTATGTAAATTATTCGGAAATCATCGATTTTGATTTTGAGAACAAAGCAATTGAATATTTTGATTCAATAAAAAAATCATATTTATTAATGTTATTAGATCAAAAATCTAGGATCCGATAATTTTTCGAATATATATCACAAATCTTGATCCTATCGGTACATTAAATAAATTAAATGCCAAGATTGTTACAATCATGAATGCATAATCGTGTTTTTATTACGCGTGAAAAGCCTCCGGTCTGATCGCAAAGGAAGTGTCTGAGACAAATGATAATGCGAGAAACATGATTATGGTAATTTTATTGGAACTTGTGAATGCTGTACTCGAGAAGAATCTTGGTTGAGGAAAGTCACTTGTATAATCTATGCATGTATAAAGGAGGAATAAAAGTAAGGATAAAAAATAAAAAAACACAGATCGTCGAATAAATACATGGAAAAAAGAAATCTTGTTTAAAATTCGATTGAAATAAAAAAATATACGAGAATTAATACAAATATTTCTCTTGTCTATTTACAACCATAATCTCTAATTTACTTTTTAAAAGACTTGAAAATCTTTAAGTTGAAAAAAATTGAATTTAAATTAATTTTCTGAATAAATTTTCTTTTTTTTGACAAATTAATAATCGATGTTATATTAATTTTTAATTGTAACACATTGTAATTATATCGAATTATATCAATACGTATATTTTTTCACTATCGAAGAATTTTAACAAATAAATTTGAGTTCACGAAAAAGTGTATGAAATGCAGTCATTGAATACACTCATGGGAGATGATTGAAGGTCATATCTCTGCGACCCTATATGATTATACGAGCTGAGAAAATCAACGAGAATTTTATGCAAGGGAAATGTCACAAGAGGTACATCGGGGTCACGTTTAAGGGCTGGAGGATGCACTAGCTAATATAAACATTACACCGTTGGGACCGACTTATTGCAGGGGGTTTCTATGCGGGGTACATGTCTCGCGGCAAGTTTCAATAGGAAAATCATCGTATATTACACCGCAGTCGCATAACTCGCATATACAAGTGATATCGTCCTACAAGAGACCATATGTGATTATTTTTGACGATCGATAATTTTCTCTCGTCCTCAAAAAATAATTTTTCTATTTTCTATTTTAACTAGTTTTCTTTCTGTAATTCTAACTATATATGATATTTATTATATAATAAAGATAATATAAGAACTATCCCTTTCTATTATACAATATTAATATAATCTCTCTTTTGATTTTAGAGTAACTACACCCTCGAATACGCAGACCCTGACATCCCCCGGTCGACTAGGAGGTCCGATCGAGAGGCTTTTAGTCGAAATAGCACTGTCTGTGCTTATCGTGCTAGCTCATTTTGCTGCGGATTCATCCAGAGCATTACCACCTACGATTTCTTCAAAAGCTTCCGCGGTTTTGGCCGCAGCTTATACAGCGGCAACTCTCGTTTCCGTAAGTTCTTTTTTTCAATCATTTAACCGTCTTAATTAAAAAAATTATTATGGACACGAAGGAATTGGAAATGAGATAATCGAGATGCACTTTTCAATTATTAAGTCAATAATCAATGATTATTTCTTAATTATTCATTAATTATTATTCGTATTCTGTAAACACATAATTGGATAAAAGAACCGCGTTCTTTCTTCCGTTGTGCATGTTCTTCTTTGCAACCGTTCGCATCTTTAAAGAGCACCTGCCGTTGGGCGAGTGAGAATGGTGGGGTCGTGGAGGACACACTGATTGTGAGCAGGAAGGTGAAAGAAAGAACTTAATCCTGGACCCACCTGCTCCGAAACGAATGTACAATGCACTCCAAAACGAAAAATTATTAAAAGCATCCTCTTACAAGTGTCGAATGTAAATTCTCTGCAAAATCAAACACGTTCAGAGTTCAGTACAAACTTTCTATGTACATATCTATTACTTATAAAAACTACCTTCGTTTATTTCTTTGTATTCCATTCGGTACAAAAATTATAAAATATTATATCTCTCAGAGTATATGTAAAAATTTTTATAATTTTTGAGAGGAAAGAATATAGCAATTATTTATAATTGTCACAATATACTGCAATTTTTTTAACGTAGACGTAAAAGTCAATCTTAATGAGAATTATTTTGTTTAAATATCCATGGCACTGTTAATTAATTTAATAATTTTTTTCACATTTTTTCAGAGTCCCTTTCTAAATCCAGCCCGCGCGTTGGGCCCGGCCTTCGTTATGAATCGCTGGGACAATCATTGGGTATACTGGGTGGGCCCGCTTTCGGGAGGCGCCGTGGCGGCTCTACTTCACGAGTACGTCCTAAGTCCCAGGCCCGCGAAGGATTCGCGCGACATGGACGACGGCGATAATTCGTCCATGAGATCCGACGAGGATACGTACGACGATCTGGACAAACCGAACGGGCCCAAGTTTCCCAGTGCATACGCAACCTATCGTCCAGTGGCTGGCGCGTCGTCGTCGATCTACAGCGCACCACCAACCGCGTTGGAACGCGTCGAATCGATCTACGGCGGCACTAAATCGCTCTACTGCAAATCGCCACCGTTGACGCGTGCCAATCTGAATCGCTCCCAGAGCGTTTACGCGAAATCGACGTCGGGCCCGCGGGATGGCCTGATGATCCCGAAGCCGGGTCCGCTGGTGCCGGCGCAGAGTCTGTATCCTATCAGACTTGGCCAGAACGGTGGTTGCCAGAGCGGTGGTAACCGCGAGAGCCAACCTATACCTGGTGGTCCGCCGAGCCAGTCGTCGCAGAATCACAACAGCACTAATCAGAACATGCAGAACCAATTGCAGCAGTGCACGCAGAGCATCTACGGCATCCGCGGGATCTCCACGAGTCTTAGTACACGGGAAAACGGTATCTATGGTGTATCTACTGGTTCCAGCGTCTACGGTCGTGCACCAGCACCACCGCCGAGCAGCCAGAATTCGCAGCAGTCCGGTCAAAGTAGCGGTCAGTCCTCGATACAGAATCATCCGCCACCACCGCCGCCGTCGCAGCAACAACCTCAACAACAGCAGCAGCAGCAGCAGCAACAGCAGCAGCAGCAGCAGCAGCAGCAACAACATCAGAACGGACCGTTGTCGAGTAATTCGGATAACGGGCCAAGCACCAGACGGCCCGAAAGCATGTACGGCCACGTTTCGAGACGCAGTGACGATTCCGCGTACGGTAGCTATCAGAGCTGCACGCGAGGAAATTATGGCAAAATGCCTGGACCACCGCAATATCGCGATCAGGGTAGACCGAGTCCGGCCGGGCCCCTTCAGCAAAGTCAGAGCGCGCAGAATAACTTCCAAAGAAACTCGCCGAATCCTCAGTATTGACTATAAATGAAAAAATCAAATCGGATATTATGGCGATCAACGAATTATCTCGCTTCTCGATGAAGTATAGCTTTTCGTCAAATATTTAAAAATCTCAGACTCTTCAATGAGTGGTTCTATTTAGCGACATAAGTCCACAACAAGTTATCTTTGTTATTTACTGAATATTGAAAAAAGAGAATGACGCTTGTGTCGACTTGTATCGTTAAATGGAAAGCACTTGATAGGAAGTTTTTTTACATTCTAAATGCGAAAGTTCGTCCTGACATAATTCTATAAGGTGTACTATTCGCAACGATTAGTTCTGGAATCTATTTTTGCGAGCTCCTATTTCGTTTTATAGGATGTGAAAGTAATATCGGACCAATATCATTTATGTCGATGATGAGCGTCAATAAAACTTGTAAATAAATATTACATTATATATAACGTGTATACATTGTGTATTTCTGCGCGATGCACATTGAAAAAAAATGAACTGTGCGATATGATCATTGAGCTTTTATATCAATGTTTAATCTAATATGTTAGATTTACCGTATATACATATTAGAAAAACGTAATTTAAAATCGTATAGAGTGAGAGAAAACTAATGTATCAGCAAAGGAAAAGATGAAAAAATATCTGCCAAAGAGCAGAAATATTATTCTCGATAAACTTCGTATAACGATTTACAAAAATTTTAGATATATCGAAGATGAACCGACTTATATATTGTTGCCCGTACACGTGTATATAATATATAGATTTAAATTTAATTTTTTTCGCGCAAAAAAATATTATTAATTCTACTTGTCAATATTATAATATTATCAATATTATAATACTAATATTATAATACTATTATGCCAAATCTCTGCAGTGAAGCGTGTACTGATCTTTCAATTGTGAAATGAGCTTCATTAGCGAGATCGTTTTAAAGTCTTTTCGCAACGATGGAACCAAATGAAAGACTGCGAAATGAATTACATGCTATGCTCTATTTTATGAGTATTATTTCCATATGTGTAGACTTGAAATATATACATAATTTTAGCGCGCATGACGTAAATTATTATATTTGTACAAATGATAAGTAGTGACTCCTCGTATGATAAAAATGATTATAGTGGTTTAAGAAAGTAAACTCGCGCATGAGAAACATGTATTCTGACAATTTTAAAATAGAGTATATATATAATCTTTATATATATAATCTTAAAGCGATTTTTTTAATAGAAAATCTGTACATAGATTCTAGTTAATAAATGTTTATAACTTCTTCATTTCTTTTTTTGTCAATCATGTCAACAATGTCATGCTTTACTTACCGATAATACTTTACGAAATATTAATAAATCCAAAAATGTCTATTCATAAAAATTCGTTACTTGTTTATTTTATAACGACAATATTACGAATTTGTGATAATCAAATTTACGACCTGACGTGTTGTCACATTAATTTCAACGATTTGCTGCCATTAACTGGAATCATTTCGAAATAAAGATAAACGTTTATGAATCATATTGACTTTCTTAAATATTATAAGCAACTTATAATGGACGTTAATTAATATCAGCAAACAAATGTGACATTTATATATAATTATATATATAATCTTAGGTAGCAGAGTGACGTCAAATGACATCTTAATAACATTAATGACGTTTTAATGACGTCATTCTACGTCATTCTACGTCATTCTACGTCATTAAGACGTCTGGAGACGTCATGTTGCTATCTGAGATAATATCTAATCTTTAGAAACAAATTGTTGTCAGTAAATCTTCTTCAAAGAGCGACTTTGGCATATGATTTTTTTTCTATATTCTTATATTTTTTAAATTTCTCCAGAGAAAGAAGAAAAAAATGCATAGTTAGAAACAATAGATCTAATATCGATAAAAATAGGCCAATATGTTTCATCAGATTAGATTACCCAGGCAGGACATGAAACTCATAATGACGTCATTATGACGTCATCATGATTTTATTTATCACTTAAAAGTTACCTAAACAAAAATGATTAAAACATGAGTTAAAGATGACAAAAAGAATCATAAATTTTTAAGTTCAATAATCGCATATAATTTTAAAAAGATTATATTGCTTAAATATAATTAAAATATACATGAATAATTAAATAAACAAGTAATTGCGTAATATATATAAAAAATGATATTATGATTGATTCTTAAGATTTCATACGTGAAGTATATATATATTCTCCAACAGAGTTCGCTAGAATTGTTTAATATCAAAAATAAGTCGCCAAAACATTGCCAAAAGTATATCAAATGAAATCATTATGATTTTTCTAAAATGACTTTTAGGTGACGTCATAATGATCTCATTATGAGTTTCATGTTCTACCTGGGCATGAGATCTTAATGTATCGATTTCTCGAGATTAATGTCCTGTAATTAGAACAATATGTATTTCCCATTTAGTCGCCAGTGATTTCATTTCTTGTACGCAGTAAATTTCGAATTCATCGAAGACGCGATGAAGACGGATGTAGAAGGAGAAATATAAACTGACCTTTTTCGAAAATAATCCCGATGCTCTGCGTCGTTGCGTATCTTAAAATAAAGTAATTCAATTCCTTGATATTCCTTGATATTAGTATCACAAAGATGATTGACGATAATTAAAAAATTAATAACTCACAAACTCACTCTCGATGCGCGTCAACAATTCCTTGATATTGCGTTAGTATCAAAGATGATTGACGACAATTAAAAAATTAATAACTCACTCTCGATGCGCTCAACAATTTCGTATAAATGGTGGACGGCGCCGAATTCGAATCTTCGAGAAAATTAATCGACATACTCTTACGCCACCTATATGCCACCGCGCGTGAAAGCATTCTTCCCATAGACTTGTAGAAATAGATTGCACATTCCTGTACAAAATACTGTCTTACATTAAGAAGAGAAAGCGATAGATGGAGCGATAGTTGGAAGATTTCTTTCTCTCTCCCACCATTGAAGGAGAAGGGAGGCTGGAGGAGAACAGAAAAGCAACGAAATCGTTCCGGGGTAGTTCACCAAACATTATTGACCAATCACAGTCATTCTTTTGAAGATTACATGGTTACATTCATAGCTTATAGAATAGATTGGCAGCGTAGGAGACAGCCTACGTGCCGATCTTACCTAGACCTACGGAGTAGGCCAGTCTATTCTATAAGTCTATGATTCTTCCTATCCAATAATTGACAGCTTCGACAGTGACTCGAGTTGCCATTGGTCGTCGACGTCGTCAACGGGGTGTGATCGGCGCGCACGCTTATTCGTTCACGTCTCTAGATGAAATCGTATATAAGGAGGACTGCTTCCGTTCATCGCTTCGCTATTCTCGATGCACTCGGTCGCGATCAGCTGGTGACGTAACATACGACGAGCATTCTCGCGTGCGGGACGAAAGTTTCATCCAGTTGCGTGTCGCATATCGGTGTCCGTAGGTGGATCGCGAGCAGCAACGTACGGCGTAGGAGATTGACGATCCATTCTCCGATCGAGCTCGGTGCTCGTTTCTCTCGCGCGTACCCGCTCGTGTCGCTCGGTCACGCGTTGTCACGCTCGAAGAAACGTGCGCGCGAACCGCCAACTCTGTCCCTGCCGTGCGGGGGTGCGAATAGGGAGTGCACGTTACAAGGAGTAAGGAAAGAGAAGCGTGGATCCATCCAGGATGAGCGTCGACGCGTACGGGCCCAGCAGTCAGACCCTCACGTTCCTCGACACCGAGGAAACTGACCTGATCGGCGCGGACACGCAGGGCAGCGAATTCGACTTCACGGATTTCACGTTACCTTCCCAGAGTCAGACCCAGGCCTCGCAACACGACGCGACCCAGACGCAGTCCAGTCAACCCGTTCAGGTTAGTCGACGGACAATTGTCGTGCGCGTTCAGTCTCGTTACTGTAAGCTCGCCCGTTGATCTTCGACGCGAATTCATCCGTCCGGAAAGCGAATTCGAGTGGCCACGCGGCCTAACCTCACGCTTGTCAAGGGTGCGGCACAAAAGCGATCGCTCTTCGAGCGCTTTCCGCTTTACTCCGTTATCTTTGTTTCGTGACCTCGCATTTTTCCTCGATATCGAAATCTCGTAGATTTTCGAGAAAGGCCACCGAAATGATTTTAATGACGCTCGTTCGAGAAATGCACGAGATAAATCCACGTTCGTCGTGCATGTGGGTCGCTCGTCTCTCTCGAAGCCAGTTGCTAACACGAGGTTAAGTGTGTCGATTTGCGCTAGAATTTTGCAAGTTACGCAAGTTGCGCTCTCGTTGCACCTTAAATGTAATAATGAAACGAAAAAAATCGCATAATATATGTATTTAATTTTAAAACGACGTTAGACGAGAGATTTTTGACGATACATTTCATTTTTTGTGAAATTAACTTCTGCTTAAATGGATGAAATCACGGTAGGGTCTTGTATCAAATTTATCTAGCATAATAATTTCGCGAGAGAAACGATACTCTTTATAAGAAAAATGAAGTTTTTTCGATTTTATTTTCACAAAAATTCTTTTCTGTTCGCGGGCATTGAATAACTTCAACTTTTTTTCAAAAATATTTATTCTATAAATTTTCAACCATTTATTAATGATATGTTTTTAAATTTTGATATTTTTCTATTTTCTTTTAATAGCACATTGTACATTGTTACATAGTACGTTGTTATTTAGGTAAATGGAACAAACGGTAGTTCATCGTTGGATTTAAAGATTTCTGGAGCAGCTCAAAGTCTTGCCGAGTTGCAATTCGAGGAAGAGGAAGAGGAAGCATATTATAATCGTGATTTACCTGAACATGCATGTAAATACTGTGGTATCCACGAGGCATCATGCGTGGTTATGTGTAACGTTTGCCGAAAATGGTTTTGCAATGGACGTGGTAATACATCAGGATCACATATTATCAATCATCTTGTTCGTGCTAAACACAAGGAAGTTACATTACACAAGTAATTTATTTTTCTATCATATGTTTCTACCATAGAATATAAAAATGTATTATCAACATGTGCAAACAGTTTGAAA